GTACACACACACACTGAATGTTTTGAACTTTCACAAGTCGATATACAGTTTCTCACTTACCTTTCTGCATACCCCTCTCTCTTTTAATTTAGTCTATCATCCAGCTAATCGACCAATTAAACACGAAGCTAATAAAAGTTTCGTGCGACGACTATTTTAACCGTCAGCTTTTCCCTCGATACAATCGGTTCGGGCGTGAGGACGCTTGTCACGTAATACGTGCATAGTGCATACACAAGCGATAACCGTCCGATCTATTCTGGAAACATGGATTTGCATCCGTATTTTTGCACGCTGTGCAAATTTTTCTCGTTCTAAACCTACGTTGGAATCGTTGATTCATTATTGGTGATCGCTAGATTGCGGATGTTTACGGATAGGTATAATTAACGATAAAATCATTGACAACTATAGGACTTGAAATAAATGAATCAAAATGAACCCTATACGAAAGGAATGCAAGGAAAACAAAGTTTTTACTTATACGTATTACAGAGAATGCTTGAAATATTTAAGAAACGCATCGCTGTGAATTTATAAAATTTCTATGGAAAATTACAAATTGATTATTCTAACTATTTTGGTATATAGTTTTAGTGGCAAAGAAATAGTTTTCAACCGGAAAATTAGAATGAAATATTGTAAAATTAAAAGCAACTTAATCTCAACTATTATGGGTTTATAAACTAACTTGATCAATTAAGGATTAAACGCTTTCTTTTATTCTAACGCGAATAACTTTGACTGAAAACGATTGTCAGAAACTAGTTGTAAAACGACGAAGAAATTTGATGAACAAAGATCAGTTCTTTTACGTGGATAAGAAATAACATTGCGTCAATGCGCATTTGTATAAACGGTTGATACACTTATCGTCGCTTATCGTCTCTGTAAATAGCGTGCCGATGTATTTTTGGTTTCGCTTTAATTTAGATGCGATCAAACGTTTTGTATTTCGACCGTTCAGTTTAAAGAATATTCTCTTATTTCAAGTTAATCAATTTCTTACGCCGATAGCTGGATTGCGTGTAAAAATCTTTTAGATAATAATACGAATTAGAAAATCTTGAACTGATTTTATTAGACAGATCGTATAAACACTCGAGCAATACTAATACTTGAGAATCGATAGAGTATATTTTATCAAATGGACTGGAGTATACGATTACTCGATTATTACTTTTATTAGCTTGGTAACCTGAGACGAATTCGAAGAAATGAAAAATTACTTTACGGATTGATACTGAATACATTCGTGATTTTTATGTTGCAGTAAAATCAATTAATGGAGTTTATTATTGAAATACAATCCTATAGATTTATATTGGTTATTCGATTAAATAAATATATCTAACGCCAAATAAATGAACTTAATTTTTCCAATAAAATCGATAAATAAAGAATATGAAGGAAGTAAGAAACGAAATATTCATTGACACAAAACTTCAACAAAATTATGCTTCGTTAACATAGCATTAGTTTCACGTGTTTAATAAATAAATTATAAGAGAATCAGTAGAACGAAGTACTCTCTGACATAAAATTTTTGTGAATTTGTATTGAATATCGATTGATACATTAAACAAATTATTTTGTCGAACCAGTTAAGAAAATAAAGGAACTAATGAAATAAATGTTTCCAAGTCTGTATCAAATAATTGAATCTATACTCGATGGATATTTGATTGATTGCAATTAAATTTTTGTATTGGAATAAAATGGGGGAATGAAGTATCAAGGAGATCTCGAAAGAGAATTCTATGAATTTGTATTTAACTTATCACAGATGTTAAATATAACACAGAAAGATTATAGTATTTATATCTAAGTTGTAAGAGTTGTACTCGAGACTGATTGAAATTCAAAATGTATTTACTCGAAACTAGAACGCACAAATCTCATGGGCAAGATAACCAAATCAGCGAAGATTTATAACCAACATCCTATCTATCCAACTAACGAGATGTTACCACTAGCATTAATATGCGATCAACCATCAGATAATGATAATGAATTGTCAGTGTTCAAATACTCATCATACCTTGGCATACCTTTACAAAGCACAGACAACTCAAAACTTAAATTTAATCTTCTGATTTATATAACCAAATGAAATATCCTAATAAATTGATACTATATGTGTGTGGCTATTCAATTATTAATTTACTTAAAACTTTGTTGCAGTTGAAATTGAAGTTTTACAAATAAATCAATATCTTTTTTACTTAAGCAATAAATGAAATACCGTGTTTGATAATTACCAAACCAACTAAAACTTTTCATTCTTCATTTTTTCCAATTAATTCTTGGAAAATTGAGCAAGATGAGTTAACGAGCCAAACATGTTCCCCTCGCAAAATTATAATTCTCTATACTATAGTCTCGTTTCCATTGAAATCAAATATTAGCAACACATATATAAAACCTAGAACTACAGCATAATTTTATGATTAAAAAGATACGATATAAGCGCATACTTCATCTCCTACTTCTTACAGAATAATATCGAAGGTGATAAAGAAAGAAAGTGGGTGTAAACATTGCGAATTAAAAAAAGGACAAAGAAAACGAAAAATGTAGAAAGAACATTTGCACCTCGTTGTAGGAAAGGTTGACAACAGGCTCTGTGAAGGTCGGAATAAACGCATCGCGTATAAGTTCGTGACAATGACGTTATACGTACCGGCGTAGAACGCCCCTGCATTGACGTAAATCCAAGGTTAATATGGGACGTCTCGAATCGAACGCCTACAGGTAAGCGACGTAGGTAGAGAGCCCACGATTTAACGATACTTTGTGCACATCCACCTGTTTCGAATCGCTTTTTAGACGGCACAAACGACCGATATTATCGAGAAAATAAAGGGCGCCTGGTAGAGAAATATTTTTCCGTGGAAAATATGACGAACTAGCAATTTAAAATATTGCCTTCATTCGTACAGTATATATCTGTATATTTAGGAATTGTATTATGGTATATCTAATTAAACCTCTGAGAATGTGATGTGATTATAAGAAATGGGGATTTACGTATGTATTAATAAACGAGGATATAAGCTTTTCATATTAACTAAATTTCTTAATTTAAAAATAGTTTAGTTATAACCTTTCGTAAATTAAATAACTGAAGCAAGTAACTGCAAGGAACTGATATCTGTTACGTCAATCATACGGAAATAGAACACAATTTAACGGTTCATAATAAAAAAGTTATTCTACTGTTTAAAGATTGCTTCGAAAAAAATATGTATTCGTTGTTAACCCACGCAACGTTGGAAAAAGCAGTTAAAGTAAGGTCAGGTTTTATCGATACGGGATAGCAACATTTTAGTTGCACTTCATAAAGCAAAGCTTGTAAGATTTATTTTCTTTTTTGTTAGATATTCATGAAATAACTACGCCATTTTCGAAACATATTTCTCGCGATAAACGATTCGGAAAATAAACCGATATTTTTCTAACTTGTTAAATATTCGAGCTTTAAAAAATATCGGACTTTAACGCTTGTTGACTCGCAAGCGTTGTATTGAACTTTGCAAGATGTTTGCGAGATTTATCTTTTATCAGATATTTCCCGGACTTATTGACTTATACTTTTGAAATGATTAAGTGTTAAAAATAATATTAAAAAAGCAAGAAACAGTCTAAGTTCATGAGTCGATGATACTGCGAGTGGACAGTTTCGATATTTTTCGAACTTCTTCTTATTTTTCTAAGTTAGTAGCTTTATTAAGAATTACACATAGAAAAAGAAATTTCAAGCTACATGAATTTTTATAATTTGTACCAGGGTTTACCTGTTATAAATTGGAAAATTATATTGGAAAAATATACAGTTATGTATACTGAATGAAACAGAGGATAGATTTTAGATTATTCACAAGAATGAATTGAATTTTATGTACGAGTGGCATTTGCATATGATTGTATGTGCTACACGTAATTGCTAAATTATGCTTTTAATTGAATGACTCGCGTGTTCGAAACCTAATATAGAACAGCAGCAGCAATCAACAGTTTGAATGTTTTCTAACACGAGTGTATTCGAAAATCAACTTCTACTTGTATATTAACTGATATTATAATGTAGAATCTAGTTACTAAAAACTTCATTACGAAAGAAAAAATAAAAGATTTGTAGATAAAACAATATCCTCGATTATAATGGCCAATAAAAAATTACGCGACCTTAAGAGACTCTAACCTTTCAGAAATATTTGTCAAATTGCCAGGGAATATTCCGAAAATTCGGTGAGCAAAACATTGCAAATATTATCAGTGCACGGTAACAGTTCATCGAGTGCTTTGTAAATGAAACTTGGTAGGATAGGTGTAAAGAGCATGGTATTTCATTACGCCCGCGCTTCGATTCCAAACCTGTGTAGTAGAATCTTGACCCGGCAAGTTGCCGAGTGCCGCTTACTCGCTATATACATACTACACAGTTTAGATGTTCTCAATCGCGTGACCCTCGACGATTGCGTTTCTGGATCGTGCACGCGCGCGCGCCTACATATTTGCACGATACACATCGTAACTATGAAGAAAGAGGAACGCTCCTCGATCGTAAATGTCCGAGCCTGCTTCATTTTCGACGAGAAAATTTGTAACGTATATCATCGATAATTTACGATGATCGTTAACAGCCGATTATCGCGATGTTTGGAGTGGAACTCAAATCGTTCCGGATGAGTAAACACAATAGCACCGACGATACAATCCGTCGTCCCCGTCATCGTGTACGCGAAGCGTCATTAATCTTACCCGTCGGTAGACGGAAGCGAGTGCACAAAATAACAAGGTCACGAGCGCGAAAGAGAAGAACATGCGATAAGAAGTTTGGAAGAAGAGGAAGGTTGACGACCGGCATGTACTTATGAAAGCGCGCGCGCGCACGCTCGCACCAGCGCGAGCACCTACGCTAGAACTCTGTAAACGCGCGCGACGAGGAACTCGAACGGGAGACAGACGAAAGCCAACAAGTAGAGTAAATGACTCACCACGTGAACGCTGGAGAGACCGACCGGCTCGCTTTGCTTCTTGTCCGTTTTCTTTACTTGTCGTTTCGCCTTACTCTCGAGGAAACGTTGTTTCAGCACCAGTGTGTCCTGAATATTCTGTTCGCACAAACCGTTGAAGCTTTGATCGAATCTCGGTATACAATCGGTCTGTCTACGCCGATAACTTTCGATCCTACGTCTGAGGCGATCCACAACCGCCTGTCTCTTGGGGGTGAGTACTTCACCCATGCCAGGTGCTTGACCCATTTGTTGCTGCAACTGCAGCTGTTGACTTGTTATATTCAACTGACCGGCCGCGTTCAAATCGTGAATCCCGGCTGATTGGGCTAGAACGGTGTTCTGAAGATTGTTTACGTTATTGGCGTTATTAGTATTGGTATTAGCCTGGCCCACGCAGAC